TAAGTTTGAAATGATTTGTGAGGACTGAATCACTGATCTTCAACTTCCAGGCTCTTCTACCTAGTTTTTGCCCCGAAGGGATGGAGCGTATGGAGAGTTGGCTAGCGGATATTTGAATTATGGCGAGCGGCACCACTCCATCAGCTCCGCTACACTCATCGTATTTGGGACATTTTCGAAAAGTGAATGCTGCTTTTTCAAACTACGGTACGATACAGAATGGCCATTACTATTATCGACATTCGCTCTCCTCATAGACAATTCTTCAGCCAGCATCCTCGATTGGGGACAGGAAATCGCGAAGTTTACTCTTTCCGCTTCGAGCTGGTCCTCATTATCGTATGGCATTCTTATCATTATTATTAATATTTATTATTATTATTAATATTTATTATTATTATTATCATTATTACTTTTTCGTATGGTATTCTTGCCTCCTCGATGTGGCTTAGCTGTTATGTGTTGGGGTCACAGTGATGTCAGTAGGTTCAAGGTGAGTGAAACCAATAGTTACCACTTTTGCAGGCAGGGTGCATCATCGTGATGTGCGAAATGGTGGTGTAGGTACCACTCCCCCCCCTCGAGAGAAAGCGTCAGAACGACCCCTCTCCCCACCTAAATGAGACTCTCGGTACGACCTCCCCCCTCCTCCAACACCCACCTACCAATTTCCCACATTTTCCAGTTTTTCACCCAAAGATTTTCCGTCGGACGGGGAGCGGGAGATATAAATACAATATAAAACGGGAAAATTTCTTCGATGATCCCCAACTTCCAACTACTTTTTCGGAATTTACCGGAAATTTTCCTACTTTTCCCCAAAAATTTTCCGTCGATGAGGGGGTACCTGTTTGCAAGAGGTACCATAACGGACCTGCACGGACGATGTCCCGCCAAGACTAATCTACTGTTCCACTCAAAGGGGTCGACTATCATGCTGAAAGATTGTTAGAAATAAAAGGTGAGCTTATGCGCCAGGGTTAAAATATGAAGCTACTCACACAACTCAGTGATAGGCGATACGATTACGATGCTCTGCTTGGGGGGAAGGGGGGATGCGTGCGAAGCATCACAGAACACAACCCTTGTTCTGAGGTTGATATTTTCTACTTTACATGCACTATCTTGACGACCATTATTCTACGAATGAGATTCAATTTCTTATGTACAACAGCTCGGTTGGACCCACCAGAGGGCTTTCCTCTTGCCATTGAGTAGAGCCCTAAAGTAAGAAGTTCCGTCAGGTACTCACGATCCGTTCAGAAGGAAAAAAAGTGTGGGGTTTTCAGGAGAAAACACACGCGTGACCTGCACTGACTTTTTACGGTTGCTTGGGGAAACGGCACAATGAGCAACTTAGGGGAGAAAAGCTCTGAAAATCAAGGAAATTCTGAACGGAGATTTTATCGTACTTGCGCTGGCTAAAATAACAATGCCCGCGATGAATCTACTTGCAATATTCTGCCAGTGAAGAATGGCGTCGTTGATGGTTTCGGCCGTTGTGTTCTAAATTGGTGTCTGCTACGGAAAAACAAGTCGCCCTGAAGGGCGCTGAGGAATCTCAATGGTTTTGCGGTGCCGTTGATTTCTCCCACACGGTTGATGGAGATACTAGCGTTCGTAGGGTAAGGGTACTTTTTAAGCGGCGGATACACCTCGGGATATAACACTCTAGTGTTGTCTCAGCGTAGAAGAATTAGTCCCTGAAATGCCACCAGGATGTCCGATAGGTGGTTAAACAGCTAGTAATAGGGATAAGTTCGACTACAGAGGGTGGAGCCTGAACTTCATTGGTACGCCTCTCATTTCTGAGATCGTCAGGCAAGAGGGGCGCCAAAGGAAAGATGCCATGGTCTGGTCAGAGGGTTTCAGATTCCTGCCCTATTTTGTAGGTCAGACGCATGGTGTCGAAATGACTTCGAAGATAGAGCCCTGATACAAAGATTGGCAGATTTTATGGGTTGCGATTGCTAAATGCATGGTCAGCTAGCTACATCCACTACTACCAGTAGGCTTGGAATGCGTGACACATATTAGTTGGGTTAAATTGAGGTTCACTACCCTCTATTCTTTGAGTCATAATTTGCATCTAGGAAAACCTGCTCCCTAAAGACGTAAGGGCTTCGATGGCGTGCCTTATAAGCGCTGCCATTCTGAACCACAGCTCACCTCATCAATATTGAAGCCTGTTTTTGCTGAAGTTTCGACATATGGCGCATTATATTCTGCCATCATCCGGTCCATAGTGAGCTTATCATGCCGTCTAGAACGAATGAATACAGGAGAGTGCGGGGCCGTGGAATAACGCAGATTCACCTTTGCTTAAGGTCGCATTTACTGCCCACAAGTACCACAATAGCTCCCTCTTCTCGTTCTCTTTCAGCGAAAAGCGTCCACCGGGATATTTGTTCCACAATACTTGGAGCTGAAACAGCTCTCATTTGTATTTCGTGACCACAAACATTGAATGGCATGCAGTCTTGTTCGCACAGGAGCGTTTCAGGTGGGGCTGGGTTAAGCGCGGCGCCACTCCGTTCTCCACCAGTTTTTGTCGATTGCCAGCTCAAACAGCTGGCGAAGAACGGGTAGGCACCTCGCCAAACCCCGCCTCCTGACACGCCCCAGCACCCACAACGAACAAGACTATATATGGATTTTATGCACTCGAAGGCAGTGGGCACGATAGAGGAGGGTAGTTGCTGCCAACGTCATTGGTCGAAGGGCTGAAAGTGTCACGGCCAATTGATCTCTAGCACCTCTTCAACCGAAAACCTCAACACCAACCGCCCGCTGCCTCCCTCACCCCCTCTTCCCCCGCCATGGTGCCTTCTGCTTTTAAGCTTTCGAAGCTTTCATAAGCACAGATAAGTAGAAAAAACGTTGAGAAGATGGAGAATTTGGCATTAAGAGTATGCGAGTAGAGATGCGCTGGCGTTGGGGAGGACACGATAGCGGCAGTAGAGAGTTGGCGGTCTTAGCAGGAAAATACAGTCCATATCCGCAGGCAACGAGAGGCGTGGCTGAGGGTCCACAGAAACGGGCGAGACGGGATGAGAGTTAGATTTAGATTTTTTTAGATTTTTTAGATTTAGCAGCCGCCAACCCCCATTCTGCCCTCCGATATGGTGTGGACAGCGTGTGCATAAGAGAGCCCCGTCCTAACACGAAATCTGGCTCACCTTACCCCACTCCGCCTGAATCGGCAATTGCACCACTGCTGCGGTCGCTGCAAAGACCGCAGAAACTCCCTGGCTATAGCCAAGATATGGGCTGTGTAGGTTTGTAAACCAGTGTGGGAACCTGCTTCGCACATCGAACAGCATGGTTGGCCTGTCTACGACGCGCTGGCCGCGGTACACTGCATCCTCTCGATATGGGACATGGGTAAAGTAGAACAAGTAACGGAATAAGGAAAAGTTTTGCCTGCACAGGTGTCAAAGCGATCGCCCGCCGAGATCAATGACCCCCACTGACTTACTTGCCAAAGCGATCGGCCGCCCAGATCAGTGACCACCTACTGACTTACTATTGGGTAATTTGGGGCGGGCCTGGCGGGAAGCAACATATATAAGTAAGGTGCCCCGGGGGTATTCTATTCTAGCCTGCCGTCTACCACTGCTCCAGCCTCGACGACGCTTCTACCGCCACTGCCTGAGGAACCGACGTCGTTACACAGGTCTTACAGGCAATTTTCAAACATTTCTCTTAAGGCGTCGTTGGGAACCGGCTTCTGGAAATTGTCGTTTTTAAAATTTGTGCAGGACAAAAAAGAACTCACAAGTGAGATCGAAGACTACCAGAATTACATGAGCGTCTCGAATATAGGATGGAGCTAGTTTTCGAAATCGTTCCTGACCGGCAGTATCCCAGACTTGCAGGCGGATTTTCTGAAACACTCGCCATCAAGACATAATCGTTCACGAAAAATTGCTGAAGGTTTTTGATCTATTTTCGCTTCAATTTTTTGGCGAGAAAATGAAATCGTTAAAGTCATTGTACTCGCATATCCATATGTGAGCACCAATGACTTACAACCGTGGAATGTGTCATCAGGTCACAAGTGCTATTTTTTTTACCCAGGAGAATCTTTTGGAATGACTGCGTGGATCACCGACCTTTGTTACTATGGGTTATCAGACAGAGTTATTTTCTCGCTCCTCGTTCTTTCACTTGCTCCCATATACCCTTGTCATCCTTCATATCACGACCCACGGGAAATCCTATTTCTTGATGATCAAGGGTTCAAGAATGATGTCGGTTTATGAAGGAACTGTTCACAAATAATCGAACCACATTTGGAATGCGAAGTACCATTGGAGTACTTGCTACCAGCTGGAATGAAGGCTTGTTCGTTCATTCCGTTTCTCCAGACTTTATGTGGGCTTTTCAGATACTGTAGGATTTCTGCGCAGAATTCTCACTGTCTCTATGAGTTCATGTCAGGGGATTCGATTATGTACTTGACGAATTCAGTGGATTGAGGTATTTCAGGGACCTATGATTGTTTGAGGTTTCCTAACTCCAATGAACCCAGAAGAAATCAGTGAGCACACATAGTGACCACCAATATTGCTGCTATTTCAATGTGATCGGGCATTCTGGTGCGGTACTTCGTAGGACTATGGAAATTCAAACGTTGCACGAGGAGTCTTCGAAGTTGTAAAGTATCACGAGCTTCGCTTCTTGCAATTTCTTTGATCTTAAAAGGCTGTTCGTCATTTAGGGGTCGAAAAGCGTTCGTGAGGCACATGGATGAGGATTTTCGCCTAAACCTAGTGATGGTGTAGCTCTCGAGTGAAGTGCGAGGAGCGACCTCCGAGCACGGTGCGACGGCATCCCTATTCGGAATTAGGTGAGTAGCCTTTTCCTGAATGTCTGCTATAAAAGAAGTCGTGGGTCGTGACGTGCCTCGGGTTCTCTGAATCAAAATTCAACAGTATATTGGAAAACACTATAATTCGAGCCGAATTAATTTACAATACAGCACCAGTATTCAAGAGTATCGCCGTATGGGTGTATGAAACTGCTGTGGTCTTTATGCCAGCATCGTATTTGGACGAAGAGTGTGTTCGTCGCCTTTATATGCGACTATACATACAGGACGGGGGGCGGGCGAAAAAA